AATTAAGATATTATCGCAGACGATATATATCGCACACCCCTACGTTAATGCGTTTAACGCAGCACCCTGTCCAATATCACATGAGCAAGAGTGCTGTTTTTGCTGTTTTTCCCCAATTTTCTGTTATTTAAATAATTTCTATATTCAAAATTTTATATTTAAAACATTAACCTCAACATGAATTTATGAATTTAATTGCACTCATGCGACCTCTGAGCCTCATTAAACGTCTGAAAATACACATACAAACCACTTTTGTGTTCTTTTGTGCCATCTCTGTAGCACAAATTTATTTCTTAAATACTGATTTCATTTGATTGGTAACTTATTCTTATTCTACTTGTTTTTATTCTGTTGTTTTAATTAGAAATGTTAAAAAGCTTATAAATATATTTTTTTGAATTTGACAAAAGATGACATACTTTTAATAAAGTTAGAAAAATGCCATTACAAAGGTAAAAACAAAATTCCCTATAAATCACTTTAAGGAGTCAAATATCACCTCGTAATAGGAAGGTAAATTTTTTTATCAGAATTTTTGATTACTGATTAGAAGGTGCTCCTACATTTTTGACCGTGCTCCTAAATTTTTTAAATTAGGAGCACAAGCGCTCCTAAAAAGAAAAGTAAGCGTAGAGCCCTGTATTGAGATGTAGTGTGTAAAACATTGATCTGATAGTTCATCTCAGTGCGTCTGTTATGGAATTTAATAATTGATGTAAAAATACTTGGTGTAACAAGTGTTCATTTCCAAAATATTAATTCTCTGACCTGCGTTCAGCTGTTAAAACCAAACAAATCCAGATGCCCAACAACAACTTTTGTCCCTTTGCAACACATTTTTGACTAATTATGAATCGTTCCAAGATCATTGAATCAGATCATGCCCATGTTTCAGATTTTGTGATGCATCGCCTCATTTAGTAAAGAACTGTAATTGAATCAAATGGTTGTCAGAGCAAATCATCACTCATGCTAACTTTATACTGATTTTATGGGAGCACATTATTTTGCTCTCAATTCTAGTTTGCACACTGATCTTGTATTATTGTCAAAAAACACTTGTACTAAAATACTGCGCTGTACGCAACAATTTTTGCATGTCATTTTTATATAGATTTGTAATCATTGATGTTAACATGTTCTGCATGCAAACATCTACATCTTTGTCCTGGATGATGCATGCCGTGTGTTTCATGTGCTTCTGATGCTGATCAGTTGTTGCGTTGGATGTGGTTTTAGTTTTCAGCTCTGAGACAGCAGTTCTCGGTTAATATGAGAACTGATAAAAGTTTGAGTTTTTGTTATGAATGTATTGCGCTCTTGACACGTTAGCTGTTTCTCTGTTGAACTGGTACGGCTGTGACCTCCATTTATCCATTAAAGGTTGAATATGAATCCCGATCCTGAATTTGATTTGTGATCTTTATTTTTAAATATATATATATTTTTTAATATTTTGAATTCGATTTTATTATTATTTTTTTTCCGTTATCATTTTAACCGTAGTTGAAGTTTTAGTAATTCAGTTGTGTTTATTCCTTTTTAGTAGTTTTGTATTTTTGTATTTTTTATTATTTATTATTTTTATTGCTTTGAATTTAGTTTGAGTTTTATTTCAATTTTAGTTTTAGATACAGCAAGTTAAACTAAAAAAACATTAAATAAAATAAATGTTAATTGAATTTTTTTTTTTTTTTTTAAGTAATGAAAACTTTTTTTATGCTTTAGTTTTTGTTTTAATTTACTATAAAAACCTTGCTTTTGTGTTTGAGTGATGCTGCATCCACACCACTAGGTGTCAGCGTAAGTCCAAAACAACTGCTATATTGGCCAGCTCAACATACAAAAACTGAGTGCACCTTTAATAATTATTGTTTCTTTACAAGAAATATTAATGTACATTTGACTTATGCAGCATGCTAGACTCTTTTGATTTTTTTACGTTAGGTTTAAATAAAAGCTGATTCCTATTCACGACGGACATAAAGATGGCAAGGTAATAAGGAGAGAGTGATATGAAATTGACTTGTGCTCTGTCTGAAATCACCCCTTAATCCTTACATAGTGTACTGTTTGAGGGGACAGTCATTTGTAGTGGTGTCCACAACCATACTGGACAAAACTTCTGTCTCACTCGGTTTCATTCACTCATTTAGTGGTCGAGAGAGCTGCAGTGATGACGTATTTTTGCAGGCCAATCCAGAGGTTTGCATCACCCATGGTTCCTTCAACAAAAACCCAACAAAATAAGCTCTGTGATCAACAAAAGTTTATAATCATACATGTTTTGTTCATCATGATAATCTTCACAAATGAACACAACTTTTATGAAATCTAAAAAACATTTTCCCTAAAAGTTTGAGTTAGCGATTATAAACTCAATGAGGCTATGAAAGCAACTATTTGGACCCAAATGTCCCATTTAGCCACTTGTTAACAGACACCTTTTTCAAGTCACTTAAAAGCTTAAAAAACATGAGTAAGGTGTTACTGATTTATTTTATGTTGTGGAATAGAATGTGAAAATATTTTGCGCTTGTGTTAACCACAGACCTCATTTCAGGCATTTCACCAGAAACTCATTCAAAAAAAGCCATTGACTTCAGGACAGTGGAAGTGGAAATGCTAAAATGCCAACTTGTTTCCAGGGTTAGGCCTACAAAATACGTCATCACTGCAGCACTCTATAGTGAATAAGAGTATAGGGGGTGATTTCGGATACAGCCTTGATTAGTTTGTTAGCTGTGCAGTGAGCAGAGTTTTGAGGTAACACTTACACGTCATGAACAGCTTCCTGCTGATGTCTGATACACGCCTATGACTGTCGCAATAATGTTTAAGCAATACAGAGCAAAAAAAATAGTGCATATATGTGATATAAAACATGTTTTTCCAGTGAACTCCCATTCTGGCAATGTTAAATTGAATTTTTAGGGTGTGATCCTGTCTTGGTTTGGTTGGTTAGAGCTTTATTGGCACGACTAAGATACGATTGAGAGATTCAATTAGTTTTGATGATGAAAGACGCCTGCAGTGAGACTCAATCTATTTGTTGCCCCCTGCTGTGGTGGAGGAGTGCTTAGGGAGGTGGAACCAGGGTCATGAGGTAAAGTAGGAGTTTTGCATCGAGTAGAGGCGATCAATGGGATTTCCTATCCGCCCTGCCAGAACTCCACCGTCGGCAGTCGACAAGAGACAGTCTCCGAGATGACTGAGGCTTCCATCACTGTCCAAGTCATGGAAAATTGTCTCAGAGTCTGAAATGAAGTCAGTGTTCAAATGCAAACAAACATTTCGGTTAACTGAGAAAAGAACCAATGCTGAAGTTGGTGCAGTAAGAGATCCTCACCGTAGGAGTGCATCTGCTCGGGGCCTAGCTGTGGTGGCGTGAGCCCGTGTCGGAACTGCTCGCTACCGTATATGTTGGGATCCAAAGCCAGCAGTTGTTGGCGTGGCAGAGAGGAATATGAGAGCAGCCCGTCCAGTCCGTGACTGCTGGAGCCATCTGTGGAGAGACGGAGCCCGGTTCACACCTTTCATCAAGCCATTTCACACAGTTGTCCATCCACTCCAGTGTGTGTCCGTGCCTTACCCTCGCTGTCATCGTTACTCTGGCGCCCCCCCCTGCTCGGACCCCTCCTGGTCCCGCCCATTTGCTCCTGTTCTTGCTGTTGCTGCTGCTGCTGTTGTCTGCGAGCGATCTTCTTCATCTGAACTCGCAAAACAAGAGTTTATTGACATCCCCTGGTCCTGGAACAGCATTCCCAAGTAATAGTTATACATCGCTATCTATCTGTCTGTCTGTCTATCTATCTATCTATCTATCTATCTATCTATCTATCTATCTCTGTCTGTCTGTCTGTCTGTCTGTCTTTCAATCTATCCATCTGCTTTTTCCTAAAAGTATCTATCTATCTATCTGTCTGAAAATGTCTATCCATCTGTCTTTCAATCTATTCATGTTTTTCAATCTATCCATCTGCTTTTTCCTAAAACTATCTATCTATCTATCTATCTATCTATCTATCTATCTACCTATCTATCTGTCTGTCTGTCTGAAAGTGTCTATCCATCTGTCTATCAATCTATCCATCTGTTTTTCAATCTATCCATCTGTTTTTTCCTAAAAGTATCTATCTATCTGTCCGTCCGTCCGTCCATCTCAGTCTGTCTTCCTATCAGTCTTTCTGAAAGTAAGCTTGATGTCTCGATCTGTCATCTGTCTGTATATCTATCTCTCTATCTGAAAGTGTTTGTCTTTTTTTATCTGTCTTTCTTAAAGTATCCATCATGCAATTGACAAGCATTTACTGTTTTGTCAAAAATTTACAGTTACATGAAGTTTTTGATTTTCAGTTTATTTTAGTTCTATTCTCTTAAGCCATGTTTTAAGTCTCCGAAATAACACAAACACTGAAATCTCATTTACTGATAGAACAAGGATGGTATTTTTGCTTTTCTCTGGGTTAAATCATGATGAAGCAAACAGGAATGTTTTCAGAATTTACCAAAACCTGATGCCAGCCTACCTTTGCTCTCTGGTTTTGGAACCACACCTGCACGACTCTCACCGTCAGTCCAGTCTCAGCTGCAAGAGTTTCTCTGACCTGCAACAATAGTATATGCATGAGATGTACACAAGTGCTGTTTCCACATGTAATGCACACGAGCGGCCTGTGACTGCTAACCTTTCGGCAGGGTTTGGAAGACACCTCAAAGGAAGCCTTGAAGGCACGTCGCTGTTGTGTGGTCAGGATGGTACGTGGTCTCTTGGATCTCTTGTGCTCCTTCCCATCATCCCCAGCCTTCCCACCAACAGAGACACCACCACCATCCTCATCCTCACTCTTTACTGCAAAGGGGAAACTGAGCATTGGCTTAAAGGTGAAGGTCCTAAAGGTCCATTTCTGGACTTTAATTATTCACGACCTTCAGCGATAGAGCGAGGTCACTGAGGTTACCTGACTCGGTAGGGACCGGGCTGATGGCAGCCAGCATCTCTCTCTCTTTCTCATAGTCTCCCCGGCAGAGCAGCTGTCCCTCCTTTAGCACAAACTCATCACCTCTCTGCAGCCGGCGCTCACACTCACAGCAGCTGAAGCAGCCCAGGTGGTACACCTGTCCCAGCACACGCATGATGAGCTCTGAGCGGCCGATCGCCTGCAGACAGGCACTACACTTCCGCACAAACAACCTGACACACACATGGGCACACGTTATTGATATGTTTTTGAACATTCACTTTATGCAATGTTTTGTCTGTGACACTGGGTGGCAATATTTGACAACGGACTAGATGTCACACAAGCAACTAAGCAAAAATGTATCATTTAACCCTTTAAAGCCTATTGTATTATATTTGATACACACATTTCTAAGACCACTAAATGATCAACATGATCAAAACCTTGTTGGAAAAAAAAAAAAAAACTTCTGTTGTCTGATTGATAGTTTATACTTTTTTTTTTTTTAGCAAGTAGTTTAATTCTAAAAACATCCACCTTCAGATCTTTAGTGATTTTTATAAAGTAAATGTATAACTTTTTTATTGTTGGTAATATTTCAAAATGAACATTTATCGGATTGAATCAATGTAGGTTTAATTACTTGTATAATAATTTTTTTTTTAAAAGAAAAATCATGTTAAAATGTATGAAATTTGATGCATCGGGCCTTTGAGGAATGTTTATTTATTCATCTCTCAATCATTGTATTGCACTGCATTCTATAAAAATAAAAACTACCAAGCTTTCACCATAAAAGCATATAAATATAAACAAATTATTGACACATATTGAGTAACAATTTATATGCATTTTATGCAAGTAGTCGGCTATACTTTTAACAAGATGTCACTGATTTACATTACAAGCTATATCGCAAATCAGAATTTCATCTTTTTGATCATATAAATGTTTTTTCCTCGAGTATCAGCTACATATTCTCACTTTATATGAGCCACAAAAGCCTGATGTATCAAATATGACACTGAACAAAATACACATGCAAAATGTATATTATATTTTGTCCTAACGTTAAATAACGTTTTACAGGGTTAATTTTATTAACATTTATTACACTGCATTTAAGCTGTACATTTTATCAGTGTGTCAGCTGGGAATTGAACCCATGACCTTGGTGTTGCTGGCACAGTGCGCTATATTAAATGTTTTAAAACTTAATGAATTTCCAAAATGATTAACAAATACAGGGATATACAGGGCAAAAGTGAGCAAATGTATTAAGAAGGTCATTTGTCCTGCTACCAACACTGAGAAATGCCTCTTTAAACCGTTTTCCTTCTAAGTGGCTCATCAGCATCACAATTTGTTTTAAAGGCATTCTCGCTCTTCAATCTCCACCAAATCCCTCGTTTTTTCCTCCTCTCTCTCCCCTCCCTCACCGCTTGATATTTTCTGCCAGAATTCCCTGTCCTCCCTCTCTCGCGCCCAGCCTCCCTCCCCAGCTCCATGAAACTAATAAAGACAGGATTAATTAGATTGTTGTTTAAACAGTGCGATGCCCAGACAGACGCTGTAAACTCATAACCAGGGATTGAGGATAGCATGGGGTTAATCTCTCCTCTCTCTTTTTCACACACTCGAATAAACACACCATACTCACACACACACACATTTACCAGCACCTTTATATGGCCGTGCTCATGTACTCTCATAAATATTAACAGGTACCCACAGATGAACCTGTAGACGCTCATGTGGTGTCGATGACAATCTAATCCTCCTGCACAGTTCATTAAGCCAAAGCAACAGTCACCACTCACCCAAATTGTGACATAAACCAGTGTGAAGTTACTGTCAAACACCTGAACCAGACTAAAAAAAAAAAATGGTAGATTTCAAATGTAGGCTGTTGTTGTGAGTGTGTTATGTGGTTGCTAGGGTGTTGCTTGCTGTCCCCAGTCTTATGATATTGTCGTCTCGGGACCCTCCTTCAATGCATTTTTTTCCCCCCAACCAAGTGAAAAATCATCAAAAGCCACTCAATTTTACGTATCATACTATCACGGTGCAGGACAAGGTATTATTTAAAGTAATAGTCCTACTTGTGCTTAAGGGTTTGTTTAGATCACTAACCCTAAATATAAGCAATAATAATAGGGATACCTGCATTAGTGACCTAAAAGCACATATATAGGTGGCACATAAAAGAATAGATGCTGTCACACATGATAAGATGAACACAAAACATTTTGGAGGTGAGGAACAGATGAAATGCACGTTTGATGGATAACGCAGACTTCATAACAGTTCCAGAGACGGATGGCGGGAGTTCTGGTGTGTGTGTGTGTGTGTGTGTGTGTGTGTGTTTGTGGGTGTTGAGGAGCACCGAGTGCAGGAGATGAAGGTGTCATATCAGAAATCTGCTGAAGGGAGAGGCAGCCAGGTCCACACATTATAGCCTCTAATCTGCATGGATGTGATGATCCTGTCCGAAACGCAGCTGCTATGGCTAATCTGTCTCAATCCATCTGCCAAAAATGCCAAATTACCCAAATCACCACCTACAAAGAAGACCAACTCTAAAAACTCATACAGCAACTGACTCTGAGAGTAAATCTCATGTAACCTGTCATATTTCACCTCTAATCCGAAAGAAATAAGTGGAAAAACTAAATTTTCCTTAAAGACAATGAAGTCTATTTTTTTGGCTCTGACACAATTTTTATAGTTAATATTTCAAGTTATTTCTACCCAATTCTTAGTAAAATAATGCAAAAAAGTGGCATTCTCATTACAATCATGTGATGAAAAAACGGATGAGTTCTAAATCACAGTTGTATCTGAATAAAAAAAGATACAAATTAATGACAATTGATACACTGGAAAAGAAATTGGCTTTGAAACAAATTTCACGCAAAAATGTCACAAACAGTTATGAAGTAACAGCACTAAATTAAATGTCAAATTTTGAAATAGAAAGACAGAAATTGTATTTTCCATTAAAATACACGCCAATAATCTTTTTTGTTTACAACTTCGAAAAATATTTCTTTGTTTTTTTGTTTGTTTGTTTGTGTGTGCAGTCATGAGAATTTGGGGTCAGATATTTTATATTGTCATGAAAATATTAACACAATGTAAAAACTTCTTATTGGTCATAAAGTAGGCTCCATTTACTTTAAGCAAAATATATATATTTTGATTTTGATTTTGAGGTGAAATGTAACCTAGAAATGTTATTGGGTCATGACATTCACCCACAAACTTTAAAATGAGAGAAAAAAAAGAAAAAAACTGGAAACAGACACATTAAACGTGATAGTTACAGAAATAGCACCACAGTTTGTACTTAAAATACGCAGAAAAATCAGAGTTAACTGAGGATTAAACTACCTTGGGGGAAAATAAATTCTGGGTGCGGGAAGGAAATCAGGCGCTATGTACGTACAAGCTGTGTTCATGATGCCAATTCAATAAAGTTTTACATGAATCTATAGCCAAATCATAGTGTGGGGGCCTAATCCATGCATGAACATAATTTTACATAATCAAACACTTACTGTCATAGTTGCGAGGTTTATCTTGCAGACTTTGGTGCATCTTTGTATATATATGGAGGCAGTATGTAAATCATAAATGTACACATAATTGCAAGGGTTGGTGCGGTGTGTGTGTGTGTGTGTGTGTGTGTGTGTGTGTGTGTGTG